GAATTGCAAAATAATAATGCTAGGTTAAAGAACAAGACCCCAATGAGTACATACAGAATTAGTGAATTTCTATGAAACTCCAGAAAATGCAGACTGATCTACACAGCAAAAGAAAGCAGATCAGTGGATGCCTGGGGACAGGGATGGAAGAAGGAAACATTTCCAAGGGGCACAAGGAAAGTTTTGCAGGTGATGGATGTGTTCATTATCTTTTTTTCTTAAGTATTTATTTATTTAAATAATCTCTATACACAACATGGGGCTTGAACTCATGACCCCAAGATCAAGAGCCTCATGCTCTTCCAACTGAGCCAGGCAGGCACCCCTGATATGTTCATTATCTTAATTGCGGTTATGGTTTCACCTGCGAACACATACATCAAGACTTCATCAAATGGTACAGTTTATTGTATATCAGTTGTACTCAAAAAAGCTATAATAATAAATAACCTAAGCACTGAGGAGAATAGGCTTGTCTGAGATAGCTCCTCAAAAAAGGAAATGAAATAGATTTACTTACAACTGAGAAGCTGAGCTGCCAACTTGACCGAGGAGAATTTCTCAAGTAAGCTTTGTCTCAAAAGGCTTTCCTAGGTTCTAGTAATGGGAAAAGGGAGATAGAAAGAAAATTCACTGCAGTGAAGGGCTAGATTTGCTATTTGGGGGCAAAAATCTTAATAGCACCTGGACGCTAACAGATAAAATGTTGAAACCTTGTTTGTTCAGTGCCTGATTCTTTTAGACTCGGCCTCATTGGTCCTTTAGGACCACTGAGATCTTGCTCTGCTTACTCCTTGCCTTTCAAACTACACTAAGTGTGGCTGAACCAGGGAAAACAGCAGGGATAGGGAGTGAGAGGGACATTGCAGGAACTACCTCTAACCCTCTAATACCCATTCCTGCTTCCTAGAGTTGGAGGTTCCAAGAGGGGGGTAGGTAGAAGGAAGCACACCTCAAACTCAGCCTGACAACCAGGCTAAAGTCTGCCTGAGTGCTTAGAATCTTTCCAAATGGAAAGCCTCATAGACTCAACATTCCTGAAATTCAAGAGAAAAGAGTACCTCTCAGGTTCTAGAAAGAAGGGTCAAGGGTCCTTAAAACCAGGTTCTTTTTAAAATTCAGAATCTAAACCTATCCTTCGCTGGCCAAGTTTTCCCTGCCCCTTCTCTTCTTCCACCCCGCTCCTCTGTCCTCAACATCCTTGAAGCCCTAGACAATGTCCCCAGGTAGCAATCAATTGTTCAACACTATCTGGGTCCCTTCCTAAACCTCAGCCTTTATGATGATAGAGCTTTTATCAGCACCACCCTGTGCCCTTGGTTTCAGATTTCCCTCACAGAAGCAGGAGTTAAAATACTTTCCTTTTTTTTTTTTTTTTTAATACTATAGGACTATAAAATGGGGCAATTTTTTAGTCTTGCCCTATTTCAGCTATGCAGAGAAACTTGAGTTTCAAGTGACAGAATCCAAAGGAACCCTGGTAACAGGACTAATAAAAATTAGCTGGCAATATTGGCAGAATTTCTCTACAAACCCTCTACATCAGAGTTGCCTGGCGTGCTTGTTGTCAAGACCAGGTCCAGGCCCCCACCCTGACCTCAAGAATCAGATGCTCTGGGAATGGGGCTTGGGAATATGATTCTAATGCATTGTAATAACATAGAAGATTTTCTGCTTTAAAGGAATAGAGTTTCTTTGCTCCTTCTTACATATTTTATTCTTGCCATGTCCTCCCATGCCCACCCTTGCCTTGGTAGTCTGTGGTGAGAAATTATTAAGACTGTGTTACAGGCATAGACTTGTGTTTCTGGGGCCAGAGTGAGATGGGGAAGGGAAGGTGGGGCTGGGAAAAGGTGTGTCAATGCAAATACTGTCCCATCAGGACCTGGCAACTTTGCCAGAACGCTCATGGGGATGTGACCTTAGCTGGAGAAGGTGGCTTGGTTGCTCCTGCTCTAGACTGAGCAGTGTGGTATCATGGGAAAGGGCAGAGATCAACAGTGTTGGTGGCTGAGGGCTAGAATAGAAGAGAAAGAACTGGACTAATGCCAGGAGACTTCTGGAATTTCCCTGGCTTCAGAAGTAGTGTGGGAGACCCTCAGAGGGAGAAGGAATGGAGGAGGCAGGTTAGACCTCACCCTCACTCAAAGGCTGATAACCACACTGGGTATAGAATATACTTCATTGTTCCTGACTGGGAGGATCAGAAGTTGACAGGATCCAAGGCTTGGGAATTCCAGGACATCAAATCTATTGTACCCAAATGACCAATGGTTGGTAGTGTCTGACCCATCTACAGAAGACTCAAATCAGGGATGAAGGTAGTGCTTGCATTCAGTAATCTACCCATTCATTCATTCTCCCAGGTAAAAACTCACCAACACCCTCCCTAGCTCACACATAAAAAGTAAGTCAATTGAGTTGACTCTTACTTAGCCTTCCCAACTCAATTTTTCCACCTTTCCTAAGCTCCTGTGGGGGTTGGGTGTCCTTCTCCTTGCTCTCAGAGAGCCTCATGCTTATCCATATTATATAACACCATGTTATAATTTTTGGCCTACATATCCATGTCCTCAACAGTCCACATTGTTGTGACCAGCTCAAGGCCTCTCACAGAGCAGAAGATGCTAATAAACCCATAAGAATTGCTCCAGCCATGAGTGTGCACCATCAGGGAGCTGGGGCTAGGGAACCTAGAACCTCAGGCCTCCTATACAATGGGAACAGACTTGGTCTGGATGGGAACCTTAAATACCAGGCCAGCCTCCTGCCCACTCTGCCTTGTGTTCCCAAAGCTGCCAAGCATCGCAGCTCCAGCTGGCAAGTAGTTAGATTTCTTCCTGGAAGGATTCTTGGCTTGAGAACTGGCCCTCGCCTCTTCTAGGCTTCTTCGATACCCTCAGGTTTCGGGGGACGTGGAGAATGGGAAAGAGAGGCTGAGTCAGCTCCAGCCTTGTTACTACTTCCCAAAGCCCTCAGGCCCACCCTTTATCTCCCCCCAAGTATATATGGCAGGAACTCCCAAGAACATAGCTTTCCCCAACCCTGGGTAGAGATAGGGGGCAGGGTCGGCCAAACATTTGGGGCCAGGAGAATAGCACTGCTTCTGGGCACTCATGTTCCACTTTTTATTTTTTTGTTTTTTGTTTTTTCTTTAATGTTTATTTATTTTTAAGAGAGAGAGAGAGACAGAGAAAGACAAAGCATGAGCAGTGGACGGGCAGAGAGAGAGGGAGACACAGAATCTGCCAAGCTCCAGGCTCTGAGCTGTCAGCACAGAGCCCGACACAAGGCTTGAACTCAAGAACCAACAGATCATGACCTGAGCCGAAGTCTGGTCGGACGCTCAACCGAATGAGCCACCCAGGTGCCCTTCATGTTCCATTTCTACCTGTAGCCTTCTTCAGCTTTAATTAACCAAGTTAAGGTTCCAGTCTGCTAGACTAAGGAAGAGGCCCAGTATCAAGAGACCCACACACAGTTCTCAAAGAATTCACTCCAGTGACACACAGCGGGCACGGCTTTGACTGGAATTTCCCTGTCTCCAGGGAGCCTGGCTGGCTCAGTCTGCAGAGCATGTGACTCTTGATCTCAGTGTTGTGAGTTCAAGCCCCATGTTGGGTGTAGAGATTACTTAAAAATAAAATCTTAAAAAACAAGAAAGGAATCTCCCTGTCTCTGTAAAAGCCCTTCAAAGCCCTCGATAAAGATGGCTACAAAAGGGCCGCCCCCTCTCCCACCCCAGGAAACACGCACCCAACCACAACTATTTTATTTTCCTTTTAATTTTTCTGAAGGATATACACCACATATCCCATGGGCAATAAAGCGCATTCAATGTGTTTATAAGCCAAACAGTCACTTTGTTTAAGCAAACACAAGTACAAAGTAAAATAAAACCACAAAATAATGAACTGCATGTTCATAACATACAAAAATCGCCGCCTACTCAGTAGGTAACTACAACATTCCAACTCCTGAATATATTTATAAATTTACATTTTCAGTTAAAAAAATAGACTTTTGAGAGTTCAGATTTTGTTTTAGATTTTGTTTTCTTACATTCTGGAGAACTGAGGCTCAGCTCAGCCCTCTTCCTTATTTTGCTCCCAAAGCCTCCCCCGAATCATCACTCCCTGCCCCCCTTAAGGCTAGAGGTGAGCACGTCCCTCACTACGGCATGAGTCAAGCTGTCAGCAAGGCGCAGCACACAAAAGGCACCAAGACGTGAAACTCCTTAAACCAAAAGGATGAAAAAAAAAAAACACTTTCCAAAAAAAGAAGAAAAACCAAACCGTATTTTGTCACATGTGAGAGTACAGTCGGGCAATATTTACAAAAAGGTTAACGGAACATCACTCTGACACATGCTCTGATTAATATCAAGGACTGCTGTTTCAAAAAAAGCTTCAAACTTAATCGTCACAGCATCATCACAAAATAAAGGATCACTGTTGGTTTGCTTGGCTTTTCTTTTTTTTTTTTTTTCCAAAGTGAGGCCCTAACTCCAAATAATACAATAGAATATGCAAATTATCTTCACATCAAGAGTACCCCAAGAAAAACAAAATCCATGGCACAGACACTGTACAAGGGTGCAGGGCTGGGCTCTTACGGCCCAAACCGCATTTTGCCAACTTGATTTTCTAGCATTGAAGGGACCAGGGGGTCAGGCATACGATGGAGATGATACTGAAATGATATATCCAAAATCCATGCAAATCAAGTTCTTTGGAAAGAGGTGAAGAACTTGGACATGGCTGTTTCAGGCAGCTGAAGTCAAAGGGAGTAGGGATGGGGGAGGAAGGGCAAGTGGGCAGAGAGGATTGCAGGCCAATAGACCTTCCACGCAGACCCTAGGGTAGAGTAGAGGGGGAGGGTTTGGCTCTGAGAACCTCCATCTCACCTAAGAGGAACCCCCTCCTGTGGCCATCTCCTCCTGCTGTCCTAAGTCTCTTGTGTTTCTTTTTCTCCCTTTTCCTTTTTTTCCCCCTTTCCCTTTAGCAAATTTCAATTGTCCTGGGAGAAAAGGTTGTTGTCATGTCCGAAAGCCCTGTTGAGGCGCTGAAGGAGTTGGTGACAGCCGAAGAAGGGAAGCTGCTGACTTGGGCTGGGAAAGCAGGGGGAACGGAGGAGTATGTGGTAGCCACTGAGGGTGAGGGGAAGCCACTGTGCACAGGGGATGGGTAGGTTGAGGAACCAGGAGAGGAGTAGGAGGTGGGCACAGGTGATGGATATGAGGTGGTGGCTGGGGACGGATAAGAGGTAGTAACTGGGGATGTGTAGGAGGTAGCCACCTGGGACGGGTAGGAAGAGAGGGAGGTGGTGGCAGAAGAAGCCACAACACCTTTGTCTGCCTTTTTGTCCTTCTGCCGCAAGTGGATCTTGGTATGCCTCTTGCGTTCATCACTCCTGGCAAACTTTCTCCCACAGATGTCGCAGGCGAAGGGCTTCTCGCCTGTGTGTGTGCGGATGTGGGTGGTGAGATGGTCACTGCGGCTGAAGTTGCGCATGCAGATGCGACACTGGAAGGGCTTCTGGCCAGTATGGATGCGAATGTGGCGGGTGAGCTCATCTGAGCGGGAGAAACGGCGGTCACAGGACTCCACGGGGCAGGCATAGGGGCGTTCGTGGGGGGGCGTCTTGCTGGGCCGGTTGGGGTACTTGCGCATGCGGCTGGGTTTGATGAGCTGGGACTGGTAGGTGGTGTTGAGGGCCTTCAAGTCCTGGGAGCCCGACTGTGTGGCAAAGGCCTTGATGGTAGACA